GAACCAGCATATGATATTCTTCAAGAGAAATTTGGAGGTGTTGGCCTCCGTGATCTTGGCGAGAGACTCTGCTTCTACCCATTTGGTGAAGTAGTCAATAGCGACTACGGCGAAGCGTGCACTCGCTCTTCCTTTGGCAAGGGGCCAATGAAATCTACTCCCCACTTGGCAAAGGGCCACATGCTAGTTACAACGGTGAGTTCTTGAGATGGTTGCCTCTGTACATTGGAGAAGCGCGACACTTCTCACACTTGCGTACAAATTCCATAGCGTCCCTTTTCAGGGTTGGCCAGTAATACCCTAACCTTAGTATCTTGTAGGATAAAGCTGGACCACCGAAGTGATTCCCACAAACGCCTTCGTGTACTTCTCTGAGGATATAGTTCGCTTCTTCCCCCCTGTGCATCTAAGGAGTGGAGAGGAAAAATCGCGTTTGTATAAAATATCATCTTGGAGTACGAAGTGAGAAGCTCTCCTTCGAAGCTTCCATACCTCGATTTCATCTTCTGGCAATGTTTGTTCTTTCAGGTAGGCCAAGATCGGTATCATTCAGGACAGTGTACTTTTAACCTACCTCAACTCTTCACCTTTATTGATGGAGGGCTCTGTTAAGTGTTCGATTGACACTATTTTGAGCATTTCAGAATCTCTGCTACTGGCCAGCTTTGACAGGGCATCGGCATGAGAATTTTCCTGATAAGGCACCTGAATCAGTTCGAACCTCTCGAAGTCTGGCAAAGAGTCCATAACCAACTTTAGATAGGCGGCCATGTGTTTATCCCTACCCATGAAGTTTCCATTAACTTGATTCCCCACCAACTGTGAGTTACTGCTGATAATCAGCCTCCTCACTTACAGCTCCTTGGCTAGCCTAAGTTTGGCTAAGAGGGCCTCGTATTCAGCCATGTTGTTAGAAGCTTTAAATCCAAACCTTACGGCGCAGTTAAGTTTGTGCCCCAATAGGCTTTCTAGCACAATACCATTTTCGGAACCTGTTTCTCGGATGAGTAGTCTACAAAGAGATTCCAGGTGGGGGGCTCTACTGGTCCCATATTTACTTCGATTTCAGGGGTTTTGGTGAACTCAACGACAAAGTCAGTCAGGGCTTGACCCTTGATGGCTGTCCGGATCGCGTAAGTTATGTTGAATTCGCTAAGCTTAATGGCCCATTTTAGTAACCTTGCTGAGGCGTCTGGCTTCTGCAAGACCTGCCTCATCGAAAAGTTTGTTAGGATGCGAATGCTATGGGCTTGGAAATACGGCCTCAGTTTTCGGGAAGCGGTGACCAAAGAAAGAGTCAATTTCTCCATGTCTGGGTATCGAGGCTTCGGCAGGGAGTAGGGCTCTGCTTACAGAGTAGATCAGCAGTTGGTGTGTTTCTTCTTCCCGTACAAGCACTAAACTGATTGAACCCTCAGCTATGGCCAAGTATAGTAATAAGGATTCTCCTTCCCCTAGTTTGCTAAGGAGGCGTGTTCGTCCGAGTTAGTTTTTCAACTACTGGAACGCTTCTTCGCACTCTGAGGTCCATTGGAACTTCTTGCCTCTCTTGAGGACTTTAAAGAAGGGCAAGCACTTTTCAGTGGCCCTTGAGATGAAGCGATTGAGTGTGGCTATTCTACCAATAAGCCATTGTACTTTCTTGGGCTTCTGAGGCGATTTCATTTCTATCAAAGCCCTGATTTTCTCTGGGTTAGCCTCTATCCCCCTCTGATTTACGATGTAGCCCAAGAATTTACCCAAAGCTATACCGAAAGCACACTTCAGGGTGTTCAGCCTCATGTGGTATCTTCTCAAGGTATTGAAGGCTTCGGCCAAGTGCTTGATATATTCCTTAGCCACGAGGCTTTTTACAAGCATGTCGTCAACATACACTTCCATTATTTTGCTGAGCTGATAGGCGAACATTTTATTGACCAGCCTTTGGTAGGTTGCTCCAGCGTTTTTCAGGCCGAAAGGCATCACCTTGTAACAGTAAAGCCCTATATCCGTGATGAAGGATGTGCTATCTTCGTCGCCTCGTCTCACCCCTTCTGGGGGGCTAAGCATCGGATTGCTGCCTTCGTAGTAGTGATTCGTGCTATTACGAGGATTACTTGCCAGTCTTCCTAACCCTATATAATCGTTGGTGTCATGGCCATAGTGGCAATGGACGGTGCAGTAGGGTCGTACTTCTGGGGGCCTATCTTTAGGCCTTCCTCTCCTTTCCCTATTTCTAGAGGTTGAAGGTCGTCCAATATTTCTGGCAGGATTACTTGTACTTGACCCAGCGTTTTCGTAAGCCAAGGTGGGGATCGCATTCAAAACGGCTGTGGCCAGTGCCTGTCCTGAAGTGGGGGCCAAAGTGTGCCCGGCCTGAGTCCACTGCTGACTTACTATTCGAGATGTGGGGCCTCTGCATATCTGCCTTTGAGGTGGTGGGAGCCCCTAGGCGGCTCTGTTCATGTGGTCAATCATTTCTTCATAGACGATTTCAACTTTCATCATCTCCACTAATTCATCAAACGTTGAAAGATTCTTGCTTCGGACGTCTCTCCAGAATAAAGTGTTCATGTTCAAGCCTCATTTCAGAGCTGATAGGGCCTACTTGTCCATGAACTGCTCACAGTAAGTTATCTCATCGGTGAAGCGGGCAAGGTAGTTTTTCAGGATCTCGCCTGCCGCTTGTCTCATGTCTTGCAAGAGTTGAATCGGAGCTTCTCCCTCCTTCCTTGAGAGGTATTGGTTTAAGAATGCTTTTTTCAGGTCGGCCCAGCTTCGTATGCTAAGTGGCGCCAGTCTACTGTACCACACTTCAGCAACTCCACCAAGGGTTAGGCGAAAAGCTCTGCACTTCAAAGCTGGTGAGGCGCCACGGAGGCTCATCTGTGTTTTGTACTTGTTGAGGTGCTTTTCTGGATCACTTTTTCCTTCGTATTTGGGGATTTTGGAGGGACAAAGTTTTGAGGCATTGGAAAAGTGCGAAGCTCCCTCGAAAAGGACAAGTTTTCATCATCGTCGTCTAGTTCGTATGACCTACAGGGTTCGTCTGATTCATTCCCATCTGCTACTGGACGGGGTGGACATTAACCTGTTTCAGCTCTGTTTCCCCATTCCACTTGACTTCACCTTTCTTGCCTATTTCTAGGCGGGGGGTCCTGGGTTTCATAGCTTTGTTCTCGCCTATGTCGAGGAGCGATTTGGCGGGGCTGATCCTATTTCTAGGTGCCTGTCCGATCCGATTGAAAACGCTAACAAATCTCTGAGGCCGTTCCTCGTACTCGGGGGGAAAATTGTATTCCCCTGCTGAGGCGTTAACTGGGGCGGCGGTATAGTTAGAAGTGTCCATCCCCCACTTCTCTTTCAACAGGAGCTTCCCCCTGAGGACTCACGTGAGTTCTCCTGCTGGATTCCGCCTCGACATGTCTATGGGCAGATTGTTGGGGATATTGTGGGGCTTGAAAACCGCCCTGACTTTACACTTGCCTGAGAAGCTCTTGCATGGCCGCATTCTGAGCCGCGATGGCTCTCATGTTAGCAACCATTTGGTACGGATAATCTCTTCTTCAGAGACATCCCTTGCCCCTGCATTTGCCTCTTCGATGTTGGAACTCATGTCCCGAAGTGGCTGAAGGATCCTTTTTCCAAGAATTAGTCCCTTTCTTAAAGGGGGAATATCAACCGGATGTTCAAGCAACTTTTGGTAGGAAAACTCGTGGTTAAGTATGTTTCCATAGACGGCGCCAATCTGTTGACCTCGAAAAATGGCTCCGACACGTGGCCAACAGAAGAAGGTCTTCTAGTTAATTCCTCCCTGGACAGGTGGCCGCAGTCAGTTGCTCGTGGCCTTTCTCGGAGGTGTTGGGAGCGGTCGCAAGCACTCCGACGATCAAGTCAGTCTGAAATCCAATCAAAAGAGGTTCGCGACAGTAGAACACTCGCGGGAAGTGATTGAACATGCAATAATAAAGTGCCAACAATATGGGAGAGAAGATGATACTCTAAGTGTTTGGCGTAGTAGTGTATTGAATCCCCAAGAAATTCTCATCCCGTCTTCAGGCATAAATGGGGGCATTTATACCAAGGAATGGAAGAGAGGGCCGTTGGATGTGAAGACACGTGTTGCTAGATCTTCGAAACTCGTCCCATCTTAGGTGTCAATCAATCCATCTATAGGTTGGCTGGTATTGAATGTTCTCTGACATAGCAGCTCAATTGACCGTTTGGGGACCTGCCACACGTCCCATCAGCCAGAAATTTGACTTTGGAAAGATCTTTGTACAAGAGATCTTTAACGACGAGGCGAGGTAGGTGTGGCGTTGCAGCGTTGTAGAAGCGGAGTACGGGCCTTTGCATCTACTACGTACTTGTGGATGAGTCCGGTTCATTCGTTGATGCATATTCAGTTCGTTCCAAGGGGCAATCACTTCGGCGGGTACAGTCAATCATTCCATGCGTAAGCGCCTCAGTCAATCCGTGGATTGGCCACGTATGCTGACACGTGGCGGTCGAGGTGGAGGGTCTGACATAGACCCGTAACATATTTGATCTGAAAATAGTTAAGAGGTTGTTCTATGACTTATCCTTGAGCAAAATTGGGATGAAGAATTGAGGATGATTGAGTGATTAGGGGTAAAATCGTCAACTCTGAATTATTAATTTGTCATAAGTAATCTCGTCTCCTTCAATAGTCCCTTTCCTCCTCTCCTTTTCCATCCTTTTTTCTTTTCCTGCAATTCTTACTTTTGGGTTTTGCTATTCGTCCAGGGGTGCATGTGGCCCCCTGAAGTGAGAGGCTTACGCTCTAGCAAAACCCTTTACTTTTTCTTCTTCAAAGTTGAAATTGTTAATCAATATCATCCACTATTCTAAAAAATTTGTCTAGACAATGTTTAGACTCTAAATTTAAGCAATATGTCTAGTTTCATGCTTAGACCTTTTTATTTTCCAATTTTTAAATGGTTGGATTTTTTCTTTATTCTCTTTCGTCTTTTCTAGAAGTGCTTTATTATTATTATTATTTTTTTAAAAATTCTTTTATTTGACTTTCGATTAATAATTTTTGTTTTAAAATGACAACTTTTTATTTTAACTTTAATTTCAAAGTTTTAAAAGATTTTATTTGTACAAAAATTAAAAATAATTTTATCTAAATAAATAAGATTTAAGTTATTGCATTATCTAAATTATGTAATTATAATCATGCAACTCATTATTAGCAAACGTAAAAAATGCATATGAAATTTCTATAAATGTATCAAGTATCACTTGTCTAGTTGAAAATTGAAATTATGAAAAATATTTTAATTTTTGCATTTCGAAAACTTGAAATTTATCTAATTGACTAATGGTAAGAATTATAAGTAAGCATAATATTTTATAATTTTAGATATCTGATATGTGTTATTTTTATTATTAAATGATTAAAAGTTTAAAATAATATTAAGTCGGAAAACTTTTCTTTTGCGTCTAAGCCTCGCTTAGATGGTTAGTAAAGTTTCGCTTCGGCCTCTAATCACGAAAAAACACGATATCATCATTAGTCCACACAATAAACCTCATTTCTTATTTCAAATCAAATTCAACAAGGCAAAAATAAAATGGAAACCCAATAATTCATATCCCTGGCTGTAAACCTTTGTTCTAACCTGACGTTCTTCAACCTCTGTTTACACGGATCGCCAGTTATATATTTCAATTCTTGAAATGCAATCGACTTCCTTATTTGGGTTCCTCTAGTTTCCCACAAAAACTCGAAATTTCGTTGTTCTTAGGCTATCTCAGCCAATTTCGGAAAAAGAAATTCAAATCGCCGAGTCAACTCAATTTACAATCACAGACCATTGTAAAAATTCATCGAAGTTTCTGTTTTAGTTTTCTGGGCTTCTGTGGAATTCCTCTAAAACTTTGCTTTTTTGGAATTGCAGATGACGGATAATTCGAGAGAGGTGGTGCTGAGTCAAATAAGTGACTCGGTCAAGGCAATATCCGGATTGCCCGACTGCAAAACGGTTGCAAAAAAGATGTATTGTAATCTGGTGAGAAGGGTGAAGCTTTTAAGCCCT